AAATTAATTTTTATAAAAGAAAGCTTTCTTGAAGCTTTCATTTTAGTTTTAATTGAACGCTAAAGGATTTAAAATTTACTATTTCCAGTAAGCAAAATACTCTGTGGTGTATTTCAAAGAAATTATATTGATCAGAATCAATTTTATGTTTTTATTTTATTTAAAAATCAATGAAATTGGACATTTTGACACATTTGTAAACAAAATTTAATTCTCAGTTTTAAAAATCTTGCAAAACAAAATATATACTTCTGAAATGTTATTTGAGGAAAATTAGAAAATTTAAAATTAAATTAATCTGATTTGAAACAAATATTACTTACTTATAGCATAAAATGCTGCAAACAAGCATTTCTTAACCACAATGTTCTTGTTTTTCTGACATATCAATCGATTTATCAACTGCTTAACATGTTCTCAAGTATTTCGATACAGAATTGCTAGCATACGATAAATTTTATATTAGGGTTGTTTTTCCAACCATTATAAGACGTAAGCTTTTAAAGATAATGTCATGTACAAACTCGCATACTTAGAAAAATTAAGATGTTTAAACACACAAAAAAAAATTTGAAATTCTTTTAAAATCGGGGTTGTTGTAAAGCTGATTACAACAACCTTGATTTAAAAAGAATTTTTTTGTGTGTGTTTAAACATCTTAATTTTTAATGTATATGATTAGAAAGTATAGTTTTAATAATATTTTCTAATAGTTACAATGTGTTTTTAACCTGAAAAAAGTGCAAAAACATTAATTGTCACCATATTTATTACAATGTTTTAGCCTTCTTCAGGTGGTTGGAATGTCGAACTGAACCCTTTATTTTGCTCACTGGGGTAGACTGTTCTAGTTCCACATTCTATGTCTAATGGATGTCAGTCTTCAGTTATTTCCTCTTAATTACCCTTCCCAAGTTCTCTACTGCTTTAACCACGTATTTAACTCACACTCTTTGGTTCCTGTCACTGGATCTAACTAACGCCTTTATCTACTGTGCCATGTGTCCTTGCCTGTGGGAGGTAACACAACAACCCAACTGATGATAGCAGGTAGGAACAAAGAAACCGGTGTCGCACGTCCAACCTTCTCACGAGCCGAAAGCTCTCTGATCCCAAACAGCAAAACGAGCCTGCTTTATACAGCCGAGGACCGACCACGATTTGCATGCGAATGACGAGACGAGATTTCGTGTTAACTAACCGAGACTGCCCAGCATAAAATATGGGCGCCACCATTTTGGTTCCTTTTTTTACCGCTGGGAGGACCGGAGTTTACACACTGCACAGATGCGCGCACGCGTCCGAGGTAAAGCCATTTTCACAATTTTCCCCAGGGCAAGGAGGTGGCGATCGTCACCGTTGAGTCACCTTCGAATGGGGACAACACAAGCTTCATCCCCATGCGTGTTCTCATCCTGTGGTTTTGAGGTCGAACAACACTGTAACCGGGCCGGAGGCTGCTGTTATCAGAATCACTGCCCTGCAGGTCTAACTCAAGGCGAATCGAACGCTCTACTCTCAGACACGGAATCGTTTTCATCACTCAGTAACGGTAGTGATTGCATCACCGGTTGCAAGTCTTTAATGTGACGAGGCACCCCATCAACTCTCACAGATTGCGGGCTGATCACCTCCGTAACCCGTCCAGTGTGTCCAATCTTGAAGACGCTCGCAGGAGCTGACTGGTGTCGTCGGGAAGTCCTGCCAGGAAGGCGCACCCCAGTATGCGGTCCGTTGCTCTGCCAAACGGTACTGCCAGCCGTTGCAAATCAGCCAGGTAGACATCCACGGTCTCACCCGGCTTGAGCCGCCGTCCAACAAACTGTTTCCAAGCGATGAAGGGGTCTATTCCAAAGGCCGTATACAGGGTGTCCTTGATCTCTTCTAGGTCAGCATCGTCCCCAAGTTGTTGATATACGGCATAGGCTCCTCCCGTGAGTCTCAGTGGGATGACCAGTGCAGGTTCCTTTATTTTGGACAACCTGCAAACACGTTCAGCCTTTTCAAACCATTCGACGATAGTCGGGCCCGTGGGGGAGCCGTCGAATTCTGGGATCAATTTTAGATCGAACTTGTCATTGCCGAAATAGCTTGTGGGAGGTAACGCAACAACAACTGATGATAGCAGAAACCGGTGTCACACATCCAACCTTCTCACGAGCTGAAAGCTCTCTGATCCCAAACAGCAAAACGAGCCTGCTTTATACAGCCGAGGACCGACCACAATTTGCATGCGAATGACGAGACGAGATTTTGCGTTAACTAACCGAGACCGCCCAGCATAAAATATGGGCGCCGCCATTTTGGTTCCTTTTACCGTTGGGAGGACCAGAGTTTACACACTGCACAGATGCGCATGCGTTTCCAAGGTAAGCCATTTTCACAATTTTCCCCACAGCCATGTGTCCTTGAGGACATCTGTGTATGAATTTCTGAGTATTATAAACCTAATGTCTTCAGCAACCATTTTTACCAGAGCTCATATTGTAATTTTTGTTGTTATTATCGCCTTTCTCTGGCACTCCTTATTACTGGTTCCCATATTGTATTCATTTCTATCCTTGATTGATTCAAGAGATTTTTGTGGCCTAGCAAATGTGCTGATTCCTTAAGTTTCCTTAAGTCTACCCCAGTGAGTAAAATAAAGGGTTGAGTTCAACATTTCAACCACCTGAAGAAGGCCGGAACATACAACGGCCAAAACGTTAATAAATATGGCGACAAAAATGAGGACACTAGTCCAAATAATGTAAATAGTGTGAATTGTTTTCAGTTTTTAAAAGTTTTAATTATAATTTAAATTGTTTACAATTCTGCATTATTTCAATCCAGTTAGGTGATATTGTTATTAAGTGAAAAGTATATTTATGAATCAAAAATTGAAAAGCCTAAAAGTCGTTTACCCCAATAGATTTTAAAATAATTTTTAATTCTTTTTTGTGTAGAAACATTCCCTTTTTTGTAAGTATGGATGTCCGTCACGTGTTTTAACAGTTGTCCTCCTTAAAAATCTGCCAGTCTGCAATTCTTTCATTTTCATTTCTGGGTTTCATCATGTTTATATGTCTCGACTGGCATTGCAAATCATTCCTTCAAAATTTTAAACTTTAAAATTAAAAATAGTTTTTACTTTTTTTAATTCCTATTTCGCTAAATATTTTTTTGATGTATTTATTTTAGTGTCAGTCATACTTCATTTAAGTAACCTGGAGATGAAAAAAAAATGAAAATAATTCTTGTAAAAATTCATTTTTCATTCTAATTAAATAATGCTTTAGTTTTACAATTCAGAGCTAAATTTCGGGTAGAAACGCTTCTCAATTTACAAAAAGAAAAAAAAAAGAAAAATCAATGATTTATATTGTTCAAAGTCTTCTGCATTTAATTAAAAAAAAAAAACATTTCTAAAATAATTTCATTCATTTTTTAATAATGTTCTGAAAGTTTCATTAAAATCTGGCAATTATTTGATTTTTGCAAGAATTTCTAAATTAATGTGTTTTTCAATTGAAAAAAAGTGCTAAAAAAAAAAAATAAAAAATAAAAACTAATGGTAAATATTATGCAACTGTCGACATAACAAAACAAGATCATTAACCAAAACTTTGAATGTGCTAGAAAGGATTAAGTAAAATAATTAAAAAATACTTTGGTCTTTCATCTTATTAATAACAAACATTTTGACGATAAAACATTGTTTTTATTAAGTTAAGGGCCTTTTTTCATGCTGTGCTGTTTTTTTGGGGGAATTATTGAAAATACATACTATAAATAAATAAGTAACTGAAATTCAATAAAATATTAGTTAATTGCTGAAAATATATTAATTTAAAAAAAATTACTAGTAGTAAAAAACAAAAACAAAGTAGTAGTAAAAAAAAAAACAAAGTGTTCACTTAGATTTTGTAAATTTATATCAATTTCTGGTCAACCACACTTAGCTTTTCAAAAAGCTGAACTTATTTTGTCAATAACTCCTAAACAGTACATTTCTGCAAACTTTTATTTTCTAAACAATCACACAATTTTACACCAGAATGGAAATTTTTATTAGAATTGATTTCTGCAGCTTAATCTGCAAATTTACTATAACATCATTCATTTGTGAATAAGTCCTGAAAATTTTATTAAAATTCAACAATTATTTGATTTTTGCAAGAATTTTCAAATTAATGTCACCACAAAAAAAGAGTTGAAAATTTGCTAAGAGTTAGTACAACAGCTGACATAAGGAAAACAAGTTTTTTTAATCAGAATTTTGAATGTTCTAAAAAAATAAATAAAAAAAGGAGTCAAAAATTTAATTAGATAATCAAAAATACTTTGATCTTTGCTCTTAATAACAAAGATTTTGACGATAAAATTGTTTTCATGACGTTTGATACATTTTTTTCATCATGGTATGCTGATTTTTTAGTGATATTATGGAGGTACCTACCTTTTCACTTAATAAGAATATTATCACTGAACCAGATGAAAGTAATGCAGAATTTTAAAAGTTTTATTTTATATTTTAATGAAATTTTAAAAATCTTTCAGTGTTTCTATCTATATATCTGAGATGAGGTATTATTATTATTAGTTGCATTAATTACATTATTTAGACTGTTATCCTCAACATATTCATGTTTCGGCTGTTGTACGCTCTGGCCTTCAGGTGATTGGAATTTTGAACCAAACCCTTTATTTTGCCAACCAGGGTAGATCGTTCTAGTTCCACGTGCCATTCCACTTCTGGATATCACTGTTATTTCCCTTTAACTCAACTTGGGTTGATCGAGTGACTAGACTCAGAGTCGTGAATTCAATACCAGGTCACAGCAGTGATGAACCAAAACTTGGGGAGTTGAAGGGAAAATAACTGGGATATCTGGAAGAGGCATGGCACATGGAACTAGAACAATCTTCCTACTGAGGACGAAATAAAAGGTTCGGCTTGAAATTCCAATCAACTTTCAGTGTTTATTTTTCATTTAAGATGACAGACTAATGTGGTTTACAGCCACATCATACTGAAACACCAGTTCCTGTACAATCACCAAAGTTAAGCAACATCAAGCCTGGTTAGTACCTAGATGGGTGACTACTGAGAATACCATGTGCTGTAAGTTGGAATGTGCAGGTGGTGTAATGGATAACAGCTCTGAATTGTTAATCAGAGAGCAAAATTCCAGTTGGATTTGATATATTCACTTACACACAATTACCCTTGAGAAAGGTATCATTAATCCACCTCTTCTCCCCCTAGATATGGGTTAATTAATAAAATCTGTATTACTAAACCATTATTATCTCCAAAAAATAAATAAAGTTGCGTACAAAATATTTAAATTTCGGCATTAGAGGAGGAGGGGGAACTTTTCTCTTCCACTTTTGTCGAAGGCAGAGAGGAACCCAGACGAAGCTATGCCTACGGGCAGTCTCGTCTGGGGAGGCAGACAAACCCGAGCCAGTGCATGCGGGGGCTACGGGGAATTTTTGCCCGAGCTTACGCGAATCGCAGAAACGCTCCTCGTAAAAATTGGCCTTGCGCCACATCCTGCCTTGCCTTTTGGTAAATTATAAATACCACCTATAGAGGTGTTGATATGCCGCTAAAAAGAAACAAGACTGAAGTGATTCTATCAATTCAATAATTAATTGCATAGAAAATGCGTGAAGATATTTCAAAAGTCAGTTTTTCTAGAAAATTCAATTAAAAAATTCAGACTTCACAAAAAAAAAAAAAAAACATAAATTAAAATTTTTTACACGTTTGGAAATTTAACAAATAAATCCTTTTTTTTTCTTCTTTTAAAAGAAACTGCATAACTTTAAAAATGAGCGAAGTTAAAAAATAAAGAGAAAATATATCGATAAACAGTTTTTGGAATTTTCTTTAAATAAAAACTTGCAAAAAATAAAAAAAAAAAAAAAAAGCGATTCGGATTTAATTTAAACTAAAAATAGTTTAAATCCGAATCGCTTTTTTTTTTTTACTTTTTGACTTTTGTTGAGTGACAAAACGCGATTAAAATTCAGTTGGGCTTTTCTCTTAAATATAATAAGCTAGACGACAAAAATTCAGATAAATCCTCGTTTACATAGAAAAATAATTCAAACAAAAATCAAAATTATGTTTTTTACTTACCTTTCATTTTTTTTTTTTTTATGGTTTCTCAATACAAAAACCAAACTATGTTGCATAATGGCGGCGGCGTTTCCTTAGCTCCGGTGAATGTCGGGAAGATAGATTGATTTTTGATTTTTAGGGAAATTTTTTTTATTTTTTAATAAAAAAATTATGAAATCAAATATTGTTTAAAGGAGAATTAATTAAAAATATATAATTAATCCGATCACTTTAAAATTAAATGTTATCTTTTATTTTTAAATACAAAAGTTTGCATCTCGAAAATCCATATTCTTCGGGTTGGTATTGGGGACCAGAAATGCACGCCCGAACACTTGCATAAAAAAAATCCTATGGAAACCCATAACATTTAAAAAGACCGTCTATGTGAGCAACGATGAGGTTTTGGAGAGGATGCAAACAAGGAGGAAGTTTATAGTTAATATCAGGAAAAGGTAGCTGAATTTTCTGGAACATAATGAGAAAGGAAGGGCTTGGAGAATCTGATACTCACAGGGCGGGTAGAGGGAAAGAGAGACAAGGGAAAGCAACGTGTGACATACCTAGCGGGCTTAAGCAAATGGATGACAGAACAGGGTTTGGCAGAAGTAGCAAAAGAATAAAAAGTAAAACATATTGCGAACTACAAGCGGGAAGTGGAAAGCCATGATTGCCTACGTCCTGAAGGGACACGGCACATAAAAGAAGATGTATTACATTTTGCTAGGTACCTCAGACTAAAGATTCGCTAAAAATTGAGCATACATGAAGAAAAATGCCCCAAACTTAAACAAAGTTTTATCGTTAAAAATCTTTATGCCATTTAGAGGAAAGACGAAAGGATTTTTTTTTAAATTATATACTTTTTGTTCTAATCCTTTTTAAAACCTTTGAAATTTTGGCTAACTTTTTTTTTAATCGTCAGTGGCTGGCAATAAATTTCTATAAGAAATTTGAGCGCCTTTTTTTGCAGTGAAAAGCACATTGATTTGGAAATTCTTTACACTATTTACATTATTCGGACTATTGTCCTCAACCTGGTCGCCATATTTATTACAACGTTTCGGCCGTTGTACGCTCCGACCTTCTTCAGGTAGGAGTTGGAATGTCGAATTGAATCCTTTATTTAGCTCACTGGTGTAGACCGTTCTAGTTCCTCGTGCCATGTTTAATGGATGTCAGTTATCTCCTGTTAATTCCCCTCTCCAAGTTCTCCACTGTCTTAACCGGGTATTGAACTCACATTCTTTGGGTCCTGTCACTGGATCTAACCAACGTCTTTATCCACTGAGCCATGTGTCTTTAATTGATATTGGAAATTCTTGCCAAAAATCAAATAATTGTCGGATTTTTTCACAAATGAATTAAATTATTTTAGAAATGTTTCTTTTTTTTTTTTTTTAGAACATCTTGATAAATATATTTATTTTACGGGGGAAGGGAACAAATGTAATTTTTTTACTTTTGTTCCCCCCATACCACACCAGCGCCACGTCATTTAATTTTATGAAATTTCGAGAAATTCATTTTTGTAGAGGAATCGCTAAAACAATCAGAATATCCTCCAAACGTAAATATAGTTTCCGTTTTATCGTGAAAATTGAATGAATGAAATTATTTTATTTTTATTTATTTATTTATTTTTTATTAGAAAATCTTGGTTTCTTACTCAATTTTATGAAGAATTGAGAAATTCAACGTGATAATTTTTAGTGACTTAGTTAAAAGAGGAATTCTTTGAAGAATTTATTTAAATCACCGATTTTTTTTTTTTTCGAAAATCGGAGAGGGATATCTTTTCTTATTCGAAAAATAAAAAATAAGATAAAAACACAATAAAGCTAAGACATTGTTTAATTAGAGAAGTTTTGATTTATTTTTATTAAAAAGAAATATTGTCTGAAGATAAAGATTTTCGATGAAAAATGAATTTTTACAAGATTTGTTTTCATTTTTTTATAAATTTAAATTGAATAATTTATAAAGTTCTTAAACCTTTTAAAAATGAGTTTCAATGGTGTAACTCTTAGGAAATATTGTTATTAAGTAAAACTATATTTACTAAATCATAAAGTTTATTACAATCTGACGACCACGAATACTTTTAAAAAGAATTTCGATTTTGTGTGTGTGTGTTAAACGTACTAATTTTTCTAAGTATGCGAGTTCGTACATGGCATTACCTTTAAAGGTCACGTCATTTAAGGGTTGTTCTTCCTCTACGGAAAAAAAACCCTCACATAAAATTTATCGTCTGCTAGCAATTCTGCGTCATCATACTTGTCAACGCGTTTGGCGGTGGATAAATCGAGTGATATATCAGAAAAACAAGAATTCGTGGGTAAGAAATGTCCGTTTGCAACATTTTATGCTATAAGTAAGTAGTATTTATTTCAAATCAGTTAATTTAACTTTAAATTTGCTAATTTTCCTCAAATAAAGTTTCAGAAATATATATTTTATTTTTACAAGATTTTTTTTCTTCAGTTTTGTATATTGTTGACATAAAAATGTTTTTTTTTTATTTCTAGAAAACATATTGTTGTTCTATATTTTGGATTTGATGGCCTTGTGCCATACCCAAAGTTAAATGTTTTTGGAGAAGTTTATTTTCACGCAGCCAACAATCGACATTCATTTCATAGTTACCGCTACCTTGTCAAAATTACTGAATTTTCATAAATTCCTCTAGTTCTGAAATTCAAAATGAAATAAGTCAATAATTCTATGACCGCAATTAATTAATTATCAATTCAATAATTCTTCATCAATATCCGACTGTAATGGTGATCAGCATCACACACATACATACATACTTACCCGAATTCAAATTATACAACAAGCATTCATTGGATAATAAATCAAAGCTACTGTGTAATGGACAATTTATAAATCGCAGCTATGTGACAATTTTATAATCGCTATATTTTCATGTAGTCGATTTTGTGCACTTTTTATTCTTTCGGACCCCAAGAGCCTTCTTAGCTTAGTAAATATTTTCAGGAAATATCAGCTTCTAATTGGTCAATAAACACACAAGTGGGTGTTGCAATCCACCTACGCCCAATATATTTTTCCAGCACGTGATTAAGTCATATTTTCCCGTCAAGGCGCTGTGAGCCTGTCACGTGATTACATTATCTATAAATAGCAAACGCGAGTTTGCCTTTTTCTCTTTCTTTTTTCTCTCTTCTTGCTGCAAAATGTAATCCAAGAGAATTATCGCCTCGACCATGACGGTCAGACGTTAAATAATATTTCAAGTCCGACATTCTTTTGTAGCTGAACCTTCTTCTAGCAGGAAATTTAAACGCACGCGTTTTCTTTTTATCTCCCCCCGGTCCTCTACACGACCACCACAACTCCTTAGTTTAAATTTTGAAATCAGAATAATTAAAAAAGACCTCATTGTGTAAATTAAATATATGACATGAAACATAAAAATAATTGTGCAGTAAAAGAAATGAATTAAACTCAAAAGTATTATTTAAATAGTTTTTAATTAATTTCTTTTTTTTCATACTTTTAATGTAGAATAAAAATAAAATTATCCATTCTACTAATTTTCATAAAAACCTATAGAATTGTAGTGATTCATAAATAAGAAGGAGGAGTTGCGTCCCCTGTTTTGTTGGGTTAAGGAAAGGAAATAGAATTTGGGAATATATCTTTCCCAGATATAGAAAGAAACTCCAGCTCAGAGTCTTCAGTTTGGGAAACCCAAGACTTGCTGTTTCCCTTTTGTGGAAAATATCGTCACCTGCGACATAGTAGATGGATCCGGACCGTTTGAATCTGGAGTCCTAAATATGGCCTCTCCACACACAGGAGTATCTTTATATTATATGTAAGACATTTGGTATACTTGTACATATATTAAAATAAACCCTCTCTAAACTCGACCATGTCTCTCACACCACTCCTTGCTACCCTCTTACATAAACTTAATACTACCCATCAAAAGTGCAAATTTTTCGTTTCACCTTTTGGAAGTGA